TGACTGCCTTGCTCAAAAATCACCTTCTAAGTGAAGCTCACACTTACTTAAAATTGCAACCCACAATCTCCACATTATACTCTCAAGTACATTTACACTGCTCTACTTTTTCTTTTCTCCCTGGTATTTTTTTTTTTACCACCTAATATACAATGTAAACAACTTACTACTTTTATTATTTAGTGTTTCTCCTCCCAATCCTCTTGGAAGGGAAGACAGATTTCAAGCAGTGCTACTACTAGGTACTCACTAAATACATATTGAATGAAGTCCAGAAAATAAAGTAAAACCTTAATCAATAAACCCACTGAAAATAGTATTCCTAACAAAGATAGCCTATGCATTAAAGATAGAGGACCATTTCTCACCATCTGGCAGTGTCAGTCCTAACAGTAGTAAGATGATCTGAGGTCTGTACAGCCGTACCATAGGAGAGAAAAAAATCCTAGAGGATTAAAATAACATGCTCACCTAAAAATGGAGAGCAACACTACAAGAGAGACAGGCCTTGATTCCACAGGCTGAGATACTTAGAAGCACAAGCATAAAGTGTCTAATGTACAAATACTGCCCTGGTGGGTTCCCGACAAAGACACAACCAAGGTCTGATACTGATCTCATGATTCCCACAATTACTTATTCTACCTCTGATAAACTTCTCAGCAACACAGCACATTACTCAATCATTAAAAGCTTATCAGTTAATTATCTATAATGATAATCTATATTAAGTTCCTTGGGTTAGTGTAATAATCATAAATCATGTATAAAATACCTAACAAAGGGTCTTCATGCCTGCAATACCATCCCTCTGGCTGCCCATGCAGTATACTCCCTACTCTTCTTAAAATGACAGTATGTGTGGGCCTCCCGTGGCGCAGAAGCGGTTGAGGGCTGGGTTGCGAAGCTGCTCGCAGCCTCTGCAGCACCGGTTCAATCCCCGGCCAACAGGGCGAGGGTCCCACATGGTGCGCAGCCCTCTTCTGTGGCGCCTGCTGCTCCCCTCAGCAGTGTATTTCGTCAGTCTGCCTGCTCTGTTCCCCACTCTGGCTCTGGTGAATTCTCTCACCCTCCTGCGCTTCTGACTGTACCCAGTGCTTGTATAAATAAATAAATAAAATCTTTAAAAAAAAAAAAGACAGTATGTGCATCTTCATGTTCAGACCCCTTAGTTATTCTCTGCTCAGTCTACAGCAACATAGTATAAACCTTTAACAAAGGGATGTACAAAGTACAGTAGTAAGTCAAGTGAAGTCATTTACTATCATTTGCTGGATGAGAAGATATTTCAGATATTTCACAGGTGTGGTAGGGGGAACTGGAAAGTTAAAAGGTAAAGGGAAGAGAGGAGATACAGCATCTTGTAAAGGTAGAGGTATAAGAAAAAGAATATTTTATCTTAGGGAACTCACTGGAGCTGGGGGAGCCTAAGATGAGGCTTAGAAAAATAAAGAACTGATATTTATTACTAGAATGTTGTCTTATTCATTTCTTAATCTCTAATACCTGGCACCTGCCTAGCATACGAATAGGTCGATGAACATTTACGGAATAAACTTGCTAAGTGCAAAAAGTCCAAAAGGTAAGTAAAAAACTTTCATCTTCAAAAGGAACATTATCTCTTCAAACTGGTTTTTGTAGATTCATATTTGTAAAATAGAAGAATCATTTCAAAATTAATTCAAAAATACTATAAAAATTCATATAACCGATTTTGTTTAACTAAATCAACTAACATACAGGTTACGTTGCTAAGATTCTGTTTGCTGATGAATTACAAATACGAGGATAGAAAGCAACTTCCCTCAAATGACTCATTTAAAACAAAAATTCTTCAACTTGATGTATTTTTGTGTGTCATGGACACGTCTAATGGCCTAATAAGAACCAAGGACTCCGGGGGACTCCATGGTGGCACAAGGGTTAAGACGCAACCTATGAAGCAATCTGCAGCCACCGCAGCAAGAGTTCCATTCCCCGCCAGCCAGGGAGCAACCCACATGGCACAGCAGACCTCTCCTGACTCGCCCGCTGCTCCCCTCAGCAGTGTACTTCGGTCAATCTGCCTGTTCTATTCCCCACTCTGTCTCTGGTGTATCCTCTCATCCCCCACGCCGCTGGCTAGTACCCCAACTCCTGTACGCATACATAATCTTAAAAAAAAAAACAAGGCTCCTTATCAAAATCACTTAAAATATATAAAATAAAATTCATAGTTAAAAAATGAAAAACTTGTAAGAACTGATAAAGGATGTGAGCTAACCTGTAAAAGCAAAGAACAGCTACCTTGGCCTCAAAATTCCATGCACTGCCTACATTATTTTTTTAAAGCTCATAAAATTTGCCTATAGTCACATATTATATAGAGTTTTTAAAGTTTAAATAACATTTGAAGATTTTATCTGAGTTAGAACAAGTTGCAACCATTTCTCACTCCTATTTCCTGCATATACTGTAATGCAAACTTTTCTAAAATCACTTCACCAGTACATCATCACTAATTCCTAGGTGGCTCTCCAAAGATGACACACATTTGTTCAACTTTTTTCTGAATCCAAGAACTTATGACTAACAGTTGGGAAGTGTGACAACCTTTCTGGTCCTAGCATAGCTAGCACTCTGCAAAATACTTCCAGATGCAAGATATAAACTACCTTTCTGTAGGTTGTCTTTGGGGTCTATAATTGAGAATAACCTGATAGTTAAAGCTGTCAAATAATGAGACCTAAGTATTTTAGTTACTAAACGTCTTCAGAGGATAGTTTAATCTACCCCTTAAGAGACATATTTTTGGAAAATTGTAGGGTAAAGAGCAACGTTCTCTCTAGCATGCTAGCTGAGTGAGTTCCAAACAGTTCAAGCAGGAAAATAACTCTGATTTTGGTTCTTAAAAGTGTGTGTTACCTTAAAATAGACAGAATTTTCATTTTTTAACTCTTTCTCTTCTTAAAACAAACTTCTATTATGACCCCAAAATTGTATTACTCGGTATTACACATTTCTAAATAAACACTTGCCACTAAATAATATAAAAGATCCTGAATCACAGTACATACTAAAATTAATAAGAATTCTTTGATTTTCTTTTCATTCCTTAAAGAAAACAACAAACTGGGAGAAAAACGATGTCACTTCTCCATTAAAATCATTAACATTTTAAAAGCTAGTTTTTGTATCTTTTAGACAAAATATTAATGAATTGACTATTGGTGTCAAGCTCCATGAATGATATATAATCTATATACATACTTTTTAAATTTAATTCACAAGAAAATGGAAAGGTCTGTTCTTGGTCAGCCTTTTTTTCTTTTTTTTATTTACAGTGTAGGTAAAAATACACACAGCAACAGTGAGTTTGATTTATGAACAAAGTTAAATAAATCACGTTCATGGTCTAGCCATAGTAACCACAAATCTAGATAAATCAAAGAATTTATTTTAAAAGACTTTAAAATATGAAACAAAAACCTTGGTTTTCCTATATTATCATTAAATCCTACCTACAGTAAGTGTGTCTATTTGGAATTCTTATGATAATAGCAAAGAAATCATCTATTTTGCAAACATTTCTCTTTAGCAGGATGAAGGGTCTTTGCCTGAACCATCACCATGAAGCTGAAAAGAAGAAAAGATAAAACTTACAAGTATCAATTAAGCCAAAAATTAATTTCAATCAAAATTCTGTTAGCATTTGCCACTCCTTTTAAATACTCAGATTTGGCAACGCTTTTCTTTCCAGAACAGATCTAAAAGCCAATCGGACCCTAATCACAAAGAACTTCCTAAATTTACAGCTCAACATCCCTCAAAAACAGTCCTGAAAAATTCCTTGGGAAAAAAAAAAAAATCAGATAAGGAAACATTTGGCAAACTCTTCTAACAAATAAAGCCCTTGCAGTACATTTTGCAAGCATTAATCAGACTTTGCATTGATAAAGAAAACCTTGTAGCGGGAAAGCAAAAACTCGGCAGGCGCTCAGACTGCAGGCTGGGCAAACCCTCCTGAGTGCACCTGTGCGGGGACTTCCTGCTCGCCGGTGTCTACAGGTAGTTGGGTAAACGTCCCATAAGTCGCTGTGGCAAAGGTAAACATTAACTTTGCGCATTACTACTGCCACCCAGAAACCTCCAGCCCAAAGCACCTCAGGGATCCAGTCATCTACCTGGTCCAAGGAGAGCCCGATAACCCAGCTGGCACCCCTGAAAAAGCTGTCGCTCCAGAGAGGGAGTGGCTGGGGAAAGTGAGGGGCCGGCGCCAAGGAGGCGTCATGTTCCGAACCCCAAAGCACGAAGAGACCCCGCAGGCTCCAGGTTCTGCCCCCAGCCCGCCCCGCCCCAAAGCCGGCGCAGAGAACCACCTCCGCGCGGCGGGGACAGCGCCTCTCCGCCCCCCGCGCTGCCAGCCCGGCCGGGGCCACCTCGGTCCCCGGCGGGAGGGCGGGGTGACCTCGGCCCCGAACCCCAGCGGCCCGAGGGGTGGGGCGCGGCGGAGCCCGCGGGCTCGGGCGGGGAGAGGCGCGCTCCGGTGCTGGGGAGCCGCGATCCCCCGGGCGGGCCGCGGGGAGCACAGGTAGGGGGACCTGCACCCCGGGCTGGCTTCGGAGACTCACCTGGAGCGCCCCCTGGAGAGAGGAGCGTGGGAGCCAGGTGGAGAAATCCCGGCCTTCCCCTGCCGCCGAGGGACGCGCGCACAGCCGCCCCGGGAGCCAGGCGCACCGGGAACTGCGCGGAGGCCACGGCGCCCGCCGCCCGGAGCCCGACCCGGCGCAACGAGCATGCGCGCCCGCCCCGCCCCGGGGGCCCGACCGGGCGGTGTCACCTGTGATCAACAGGTCCCCGCGGCCCCGCCCCCCCGCCGCGGCCCCGCCCCCTCCCGGCGGGCCCCGCCTCCCCCGGGCTCCCCGGCCAGCCCCGCCCCCGCGCGCGCATTCCCGGCTTTCCGGACCCGCCGAGCCCCGCTCCCGCGGGGGCGCCTTGGGGCGCGCTACCCACGGACGTACCCCGGGGCCTGGTCCCGCGAGGGCAGCGCTGCGGGGAGAGCGGCCGCAGGTCGGGCTCTGCGGGCTGAAGGCGAGGAGGGCTTGGTTCCTCCAGGGGAGGCGATTATTCCGGAAATCTTGGTCAATTATTCGGTATTTTCTAAGCGCAGGAGTGCGGATCCACCCAGGACTGGGCTCACGCTTGATGTTGTTACCTGGGAGAGAAAAGAGTCTGCACCGCCTGCTCTCCAGACCCCGTGCAGAACCCCTCCAAGTTCCCTTGGGTTTCTGAGAGTCGTCACCCCCGTGTGCAGCTGAGCGCCTTCCGCGAATGATGCATGTCCTCGAACTGGGTGTTTCGTGGCTATTGATAAAATGAGAGCTTTGATAAACATGTTGACCCAGTTAATGGTTAATTATGATAAAAATTTGGCGGCCTCCTTATTGTGCTTTCGAACAGGTTTTAAGCTACAGCTTAGGAATTGGGCTTGGCATTTTTGGCTATAAACTGGTTTTTTTTTTTTTTTGGTTTTTTTTTTTTGTAAGAAATAGTAGAAAAAGAAAAACCCTTCACCATCTTCAGTATCCAAGATTTCTCTCAGTAAGTAGTAAACAAGATTTTGCAACGCAGGCCAAATCCGGTGCAGGTGCAACATGATGATTATAAATATGGATCTAAGTAAAGTCCCAGATAACATGAAATGTTTATTTGAATAAATAGGATGAAAGAATAATTTACGTTGATGCGGTGGATGAGTAATGCTTGAGGCTCAATTTATTGAGCACTTACTATATTCACTCTACTGAATTAGGCACTGAGGAAAATACAGTGAAATTTAAGTCATGATTTCTGTCTTCAAGAAATTAGAATCATTTGGAAGAGGGAGTGGGGTGCGAGGGAGGGCAGGGAGAATTACATTAAAAAATAATAACACATTAAATTTCCTTTGAGTTTTTTGGTGCCACTTTCCCCCCATCTTGCAGTAACCTCTTTTGTTGTTTAATGTTACTCCTGTCCCCTTGAGCAATCTTTTCCCCCATCATTCCAGCACACCAAGATCTTCCAGGCATTTCTTCATTCACACTCTTTTTAAGCAATATCATCTTCTTTGGGATTTCACACAGGTACCTTAATTATGTCCCAAATTAAGGTGGACATCTTTACCATTCCCTACTTCTGTTACCAAGTCTCTCCCCATTTATGTGGAACCTACCTCATTTTTATTCCCTATTTCACATAATGGCACCTTGTTGGCCAAGCCAGAAATCCATGAGTACCCCTATATCTTTCCTGTATCCTCTGTATCCTAAAAGCGTTCAATTGACTGGTATCTCCCTAACTGTCCCCCAAATCCACACCTCTTATTATTGATCTCCACTCTCTCTCTCTTTGTCCATGAAGTCATCACTTCCCCTGACTCATCTCCCTTGGACAATTGCAACAGTCTGGTTATTTCTCACTCCGGTTCAACCTCCGTCCTACTAATAGTATTTCTAACATGAAAATACATCATGATATTCCTCCACTAAGAGTTTTTCAGGGACTCCCCCTCAGTAGGGCTCTTTATGATCTGGTCCAGAGTTTTAACTTCATCTGCCATTCTTGCCCATTTACTCCATACTGGCTGTACTGAACTTACTCTTCTGCGACCTGCGTTTCTCTTCCTTCCCTCTCCTTTTTCGACTTATTTGTATTATAGCAATTATAATACACATAATTGCAACTATTTCTTTGCAAATACACTTGACAGAACAGCCCACTCTTGAAAAATAATTTGGACTGAGAATGATAAAATCTCATATTATGTCCTCAGAGATTACTGAAGAATACTCTTCAGTTCACCCTGCTCAAGAATTTGACGAAACCCTGACTATGCTTTTTCATCATATAATTTCAAACTTGCAACCAGTTCTTGGCATATCTAAATCCTGAGTTTTAAATGACAGATTTGCAGTCAGTCACAAGTTAAGCAACAAGAGGGCAGCCTGAAGCAAAGATGAGAAAAAGGGAGCATGGAATTATACCACGTACTAGGACAGGAGTTGTTCTCAGAAACATGTGGCTAGCACTAGCACAGCATAGGGTTTTTGTTTTTTGGTTTTTTTTTCCACAGCAAACATTTATTTAGGGCTTCAGGAACACAATCTGGGGGACATAGACGCAAGGAACACTTGCACTGAATGCCCAAGGAGCTCTGTAGGGAGTGTGCTTCTATGTGCAAAAGGGATGGGAATGCTGGGTATACCATAGGCAAATGAGGTTTTTAGTCAGTACAGTTCTGATTGGTGGAAAGTTTGTGAAGTGTTGTTTTTTTCTATTTTTTTTAAATTTAAATTTTATTTTTATATTCCCACAGCATAGGTTTTTAAAGTATCACCTCTGAGAATGACTATCATTGGAGTGATATGTGTTTGATTCAATATTTATTGGAAGGAGTCAGATTTATGAAGAGGGGTAATCGCTTGAGACCATAAAAGGGAATAGGCCTGGGGTGCCAAAGATCACCCTATGTGCTTCTGCTGAGGTCCAGCCAAAGTTCACATCGCTGCATGTATACACCTCTTGCCATTGTTCTGGACTGATTAACTCAGACTTGGGAAATGTACAACATTGTGATGAGATGAACCAACCCCATCTGACCAGTGGTAGAAATAGTAACATTCTATCCTGACTTGCTGTGACTTAATAGCTTCAGTAGGCAAGTCACAGTTAACCCCTTGGCAAAAATACTATGACTGATCTGGGTGGAGTAATGTGACATACAGCATGGACACATAGTGGCTGAATGGCTGACTCAGGACCAGATGCTACAAAAACTCCTTTTTTTCCTAAGTGCATAAGAAAATGATGAAGACCAGTAGGTGTTACTTCTTTACTAATTGAGCCCCTAGTCATCTGGGACCACATTTTTTCACAGTTGAATTTCCAGGGCTTAACACAATGCCTGGCAAAGAAGCTTCAACATGTGTTCAGTGGATGGAGTGAGAATCAGAAGTTTTACTGATTTTTTTTTGAAACTTAGAGACTTCTGCATGGGCTACAATAGTTGGGGAGGACTTCTGTAAGAGATCAGATCTGAGTTTTCAGCGTGGGAGGTGACTTAAGGGCATAACTGAAGGCATTGAGGAAGAGACAGACTACCTTCAGAGCAAAGTTATAGAAACAGGAATAAACAAGGAAGCTTTTGTAAATTCGTGAACAGGATGATTGGTTTGGAATTATATACGGAAGATCTGTAAGGGAAATTAGAGCTAGGCAAGAAGATGAGCTAACCTGGTGCAGTTCCAGAGAAGTCTGCAGGCTGTGACTTGATGAGTAAGGCAACCAGAAGCACCTCCTTACCACTCCCTCCCTGACAGGGTCTCTGCTATTTAAGGTTTTCAGACTTTATTCCCTGTGACTAGAAGACTGATTCTCAACTAGGGGTGACTTTATCTCCCAGGAGGCATTTGAAACGAGCAAAGGCATTTATGGCTATCACAGTTAGGGTGATAGAGTGTGCTTATACTAGTATCTAGTTGGTTGAGGCCAGGGATAAGGCTAAATATTGTATAAAGCACAAGACATTCCCTCAGGATGAAGAATTATCCAGTCCAAAATGTCAACAGTGCCAAAGTTGAGAAACCCTGGCCTAGAATACTCTTCCCTCAAATCGCCACGCGGCTGACCCTTGTCATCCTTATATCTCAGTTTTGACTTCACTTTCTTTAGCAAGCCATGTTGACCTAGAACTCCCTGCTATTTCCATCACAGTGTCTGGTTTATTCAACTCAAGCCATTCATTACAATCTGTGATTATTTTGCTTATTTATTTGCTGATATATTTGTTGTTTTTCTATCCACCTAGGAAGGAAATTCCAAGGAAGGACCTGTGATAAAGAGTTACTTGACACCTGAGTTAGTGTCCACTGAATGCATTAAGACTTTCTTTCACTCTTTTTTTACTCTTTTCTATAAAATTAAAATACAGAGTCACCAGGAGAGCAGAATGAGATACCCAGAAAGAAGGGGTCATAACTGACAGTATCTTCTAGAAGCCTGCTGGTCTGTTGTCAGACTCTGTACCAAATACAGCCTTTCGTCCTGGACTTCCAGATTCTCATAGAACCAGAACCAGAATTTTATGGCCAATTAAGTGTTGGTTGTAAGATAATAAAAAGTTGTCAGGTAGAAAAGAAAGAAGATAAGGGAGAATAGTACCCAAAAATGAGATAAAAATTTTAACATTTTTGATTAAGTGATCTCTTAGGGGGTTAGAAAGCCTAATTTTTAAATATGTAGACATCTGGAAAAACAACCTGTTTCAAAAACACACTTCTAAGTGTCTGGTTAATATACATTCAGTTCTTCAACGGAGGGAATATCTGTTGCAGCAATAAGTTGCTTTGCCTTTTCATACTTTTTTGTGTAATAAAGAAGCATAGGATGGTCTTAAGTCTAACTGGGGTGATTTGCCCTTTTCTGGTCAATGATTGGTGTATGGGTGACTCAGCCTAACCAGCATCCTTTCCCAGAAGTTTTCAAATTAGAGTTTGCTGGAAAGATCTTTCTCCCTCTGATTGCAAAGCTGTTAAAATGTGAGCTCAGAGCTGGTTGTGGTGATGTCCCTTAGAGTAATGTATAGGAAAGAACAAAGGAGCTAGCCTGGTAAGGTGGAGAGAGAATCCCTGAGGGGCTTCCATTCGCTCATAAAATAGGGTCCTCAGTTGCTGCCTGTTCACTAGACTCCCCCAAAACACTGCAGTATGGCATTTGGTTAAACATCAGATAATTGAATTCTGTACCCACAGCGTCATCGCCAGCTCTTCCTCTGAAATGCTCAACATTTTTTAGTGAACTCAGTTAAGTGGTCTAACCAGCGGCCTCCCTAATTTATGCTGACTTACTGTCAACTTGAGGAATTTCATTACCCTTGTATGTTATTTCACTTTGAAGCATTCTAATTTTCTTATCTGTAAAACTGGGACAAGAAATAATGCTTATATAGGATGTCTTTTGCTAATGGCCCAGATAAAAGCCACTGTAAAGTACTGTAGTGTGTTATTATGGCGATTAGTGCTGTTATTATGATTACCAATACTGTTGTCATCAATGATAATGTGATACCTTAAGAATCTAGATATTGTTTTTCTTGCTGTAGCATGTATTTTACTACAGTCTCAAAGATGCTGGAGGTTTTAGATTTCATCTCCTGCAGCCTCCCACTCACTCAAGGATCATCCCCACCAGTGGTTGTCCAGCCTTTGTTTAAATATGGTGACAATAGTCAAAAACCAGATGCTTTGTGAGATAGCCTCTGCCTTTTAAGAATTTTCTAACTGTTGAGCAATGTTTGTCACAGTTGAAATCCACTTTCTAGTAATTCCTACACAGCCTTATTTCTGTCCTTTGCAACAACAGGAATCTGTCTTCTCTTTTTCCATAAAAAATTTTCTTTGAAAACATCTTTTGTGTTTTCAAACTGAAAATAGTTCTTGCAATGATTTTGGAAGGCCCACTACATAGAAGACCAATTCACATATACTACTTCATTATATTCAATATCTATTACACTAGTATACTACTTAGCCTACCCTAAATTTAAAGTGATTTCTAAAAATAAAATAAAGTGCATTCTAGCATATGCAGTAACATAGAAGTGTTCAAATAAAAATAAGAAAAAATAATCAGAACTACAGAAAATTAAGAGTATAAGGGAAAGAATGAGAACAAAACAACAGAAATTTGCAGGCACCTGTAGCATAAATTTGAGTTTCACTCTGCTCTAACTTCAAAGTAGATATTTAAGTTATCAATAACAGGAACACAGTCTTTCTGTCATCGTCTAAAATGCTTTTTCTCCTACTTGGGTCATCATCCCTGGAGGCCCTTCTCTACCAGTAACAATAGCCTCGTCAACATGTCCTAGAAAATGCAGACAGAGACCCACTTTCTATACCACCCATGCAATTGCAGTCAGGATGCACTTTGGTTGTTTGGTTGTCAACTTCTGAAAAAATATGGCACCCCAAAATGAAAACAGATTTTTGCAACTACCCTGATTGTGGTTTGAGGAAGTTATTTCCTGTCTTCATTTATTCAGACACTGTGTTTTTATCAGGATAGTTTAAGACTATTAACTTTGTCACATTGTCAGCCAATGTAAGTTTATATTCAAAATAGTAATTGTTTATTTGTTTATTTTGGTTTTATACACTTGTATGAAGCCAGGTTTCCCAAATCTTAATGCCACTAGTTTTTTTGGACACGATTGTTTATCTTGCCTCGGAACACAGCAACCTTATCATCCGTTCCCTTCATTTCTTTTAAACATCCTCTTAGGTTTTCTATTTTTAATCCATATCTCATATGGTTCCCTATTCTTTGAGATTTTTATACTAGCAAAATAAACATTGTCTTTTCCTTCAGCTTAATCATTGAGGGAAATTTGGTAGAAGGCTGGATTCCTGATCTTAAATTCCCACTGTAGCCTAAGGTAACACTGATGGCAAGAGTAACATTATTTAGAAAGTCCAAAAGGGGAAATGTTTTAGGGCAACAAGTGTCATAAAACACCTTTGTCTTTAGACCTGGACAGACCTCACTTCAGCTCCTGATGTTACCATTATTGTTTGTGTGAAAACAGAGTATTTCTTGCCTAAGCTGAAATGACATTAAAGTGAAGAAGAAAATACCCACTCACTTACATGGGAAATGTTTTGAGTGTCCCCAGACCCAAAATACAACCTCCTAAATAATACCAAACAACATATAGAAAAACAAAAAATAATACTCACATGTAGTAAAAGCAGGGATGAGGTGGTACATACATAGCCTGTGCAAAGTAGTCCTGGGAAGGAGCTTGGCAGTGGTTACAGGTCACTGCTTAGGGTGCTGTTGTCTGCCACACATGTTTCATTTTACAGCTTTTGCAATAGAAGTGAGAATCTTCTTCAGATTTCTGTTTGTGCAAACAGGCACGAAGGTAGGTCTTTCATAAAGGTGAAGCATGGTATGGCATGAGCTTTCAAAAAGTGGGAATATCTGTATTAATGTCTCTAATACATCTGTGTGTGGCAGAGGAAGCTAGCTAATTCCTAACTGGATTGCTGTCAACAGTTGCCCATCCCTGTAGGCATTTTTTTTTTTCTGACAATGTTTTGCAATCCAGAGAGAAAGAATGAAAGAAACAGATGGTAGAATTGTTTGTGTTCAGAAGCAACACGATATGATAGAAAGAATCTTGGATGGAGAATTATGCAACTCCTGGGTCTCTGCAAGTAGCCATGTGTCTGCGGACAGCTCAGTTCACCTCTTTTAACCTCTCTTTCCTAATTTATTAATGAAGCAATTGAACTTTGTGGTTCTAAATACTAAAGATTTCACGTAAAGGCACTTTCCCACTGGTTATTTAAGTCCAAAATATGTGTCAGGAACTAAGTACTTTGTGAAGATTATTTCATTTGCCTTTTCCAACAATCCCCATATGTGAACATACAGATAAAAGTGAGGTGCCTAGTGCTGACCACATGGCAAGCACTCAACAAACATAAGCTGAATAACTAAGTAAAAGAACTTACCAGTTAAGTATGCTATCTGGTTACAGCCATAGAAAAACAGGAGAACAAATACATACGAACAAAGGTAATATGTACAGTAGCAATAGATCCAGAAATAAAGGCCACAAAAGATCTAGAGGTCTTAGTTGTCCAAAATATTCACTAGGATTTTTGTGCATAAAAGCAGTGTTCTTTCACATTTTATAAAACATATTTTGTAACATGTTTTCTACGTGACTTTTTCGAATCTTAGAGGTAGAAAGGCTCTCAGAGATTGGGTTGCTAAATCCCTCACTATACAGATGAGAAAACATAAACTTTGAGAAGTAAAATAACCCATGTTCACGCTAAACACTGGTAGAACCAGGGCTGCCAGCCAAATCCAAAGCATGTGGATTTGTAGACATGGAATATTTTCCCTGAAATATTCTGAGGTTTTAAAGGAGACAGTGGTCTTTTGTTTCTGAAAGTGCAATGCAATTTCTTCCACATCCAGATTTTGGATATAAATATAATTGACAACTTTGTACCCTACTGAAGGACCAGGGAAGGAGAACATGGGGGGAAGTGAAGAACACATCACAAGTCAGTCTTCTTTTTCTGAATTGTTCCATCCATGGTAATATTCTGACTTTATGGAAAACACTCTAATGTTTGAGAAAGTGCCAAAGTTATTTTCCCAGCTCTTGGGAACCTAACACATTACCTAGGACAACCTCTGTTTCTCTCTCTCTCTCTCTCTCTCTCTCTCTCTCTCTCTCTCTCTCACACACACACACACACACACACACACACACCTTTACATCTTAGACTGACTTGCTTTTAAAGTTGTTCTTTAAAACATACAATAGAAAAACTACAAAAAGCAAAACAAAATACAATAGAAAATAACACTGTGTCTTTTGCTCATGGCATATTGGCTGAAAGCTCTGAACCCAAAGGAAGTTGCCCTGGAGAGCACATTTCTTTGTAAAGATGACAAATATATTCAGGGCACAAGTGTTTTCAAGTTGAACTTCCTTGTTGAAATTCACTTCACAGTCAAAATTCAAGGAAAATCAGACCTGTTTTTTAAGAGTGATAAAATTGTTAGAAAATAATCTGTGATAGAAACCCTTCAAGGAATTATTAGGCATCTATAAATAGGGAAATAACTAGTGTACTGAAATTATATCTAATTCTTAGCTGTTAATGCTCTTAAATGTTTCATAATCTTATCTATAAAACAATATTAAAATTGAAATTAGGGGTGGAGAACTGGGGAGGGCTGGGGAAGGCAATGAACTAACTCTTGGCAAGCAATATCCCTGGAATGTTTGTTAAAGTTTTTTGGGGACATTTTAAAATCAGATTTCTGATTAAATTGTTTTCTACAAGTTTTGTTCCGCTACTGTTTCGAATTCTTTTAACTCTGAATAATTCTCTATCAAATTGGTTATAACACATTTAATGTGATGGAGAGAAACCATTTCAGTTACTAAAAAATTGCTGACATTTATATTTCAACCAGCAAATAGTGGTAGGGAGAACAATAGTTTTTGAACATATTATACTGCAACCTGGTGTAAGAAGTATACTTTATGCTATGATTCCATTCATACGAGTATATAGAAAACAAAACAATAGTTTTGAAACAATACTATTACTGTGTCATATTCTGACATTTTATCTTACTCTATTGCATCTCAAAAGCTGCTGCTCATAACCAGCTAAATTAATTTCTAGACCCTGTAACAACGCAACCATAGCTTGAAAATCTTGGAGGAGGAGGTTTCTGGAGGGAGGAACAATGTTACTCTTTTCTTTTAGAAGTATGGAAATGTACTCCTTTCCCATCAGAAAAGAATGTTTATTTTGGTTTGCTATTGTCATATTAACAATTTTTTAACTGATAAAAATAATACTTTCTAGTACTTAACAAAAGACCTTTATTCTCTGGCTCCATAGCTTATTAACATTACCACTCTTCATTGTTTTGTTTCTCTTTGGTTATTAAATAAGGTCTACAAGTTACAGAAGGCTATATATCTTTATAGGTGTAAATAAATCTGAGGTCACCTTACCGTATGCCACTGCAGACTGAGGACTGTGCCCATGTTTATGACTCTGTTCTCAACCCAGGTAGAAGAGAGAATGGAAGGCTGGAAGGAGTGAGTTCAGAAGCAGAACTCTTGGTCCTAATTTTTGAGCTGCACTGTTAACATCAAGTAAGTTTCTTCTCTGATTTAAATACCCATTCTGTCAATAAAAGAATTAATCTAAAATCTCTCAAAACATTGCCTAATTCTAAAGGGCTTTGATTCTAAGAAAACAGGTACTTATTTAAACCAAAAAGAGCATTTTATTTTACTATTAATGGAGTATATAGTGGATTATATTGGCAAAACAGTAACTTGCTCTTTGCCTGTTCTCATAACTAAAATATTATCCTTTTGCTATGCTAACAAGTGGATACTTAATTGAACATCAGGCTATGAATGAACAAATGACATAATATAATAAATTCTGATAATTGTAAGCAATGACCATAATTGATAAATTTATACATCTATGCCTCTACAAACATGACAACATTGAAGAGATGCATACACTCCTGTGTTCATGGCAGCACTGTTTTTAGTAGCCAAGCTATGGAACCAACCTAAGTGCCCAAAGACAGATGAGGAGATTTAGAAGATGTGATACATATACACAATGGGATACTATTCAGGTATGAAAGGGATAACATCTCACCATTTGTGACAACATGGATGGGAATGGAGCTGATTATGCTAAGGGAAATAAACCAGAAGGAAAAAGACAGATACCAGATGGCTTCACTCATATGTGGAATATAGAGAAACAAAACAAATGAACAGACCAAACTAAAGCAAAACAAACTCTTGAAATCTGACTGTAGAATTGAGGCTGCCAGAGGGGAGGGTGAAAGTGGGGAGCAAAGATGGAAGGGAGCCCCCTGGACTATATAGAAGATGACGGATGTCTTGGTGGTGGTTGTGGGGTGTGGTGACATATATTTAAAGAGGTGTGAACCCATACCTCTAAATTGTATACACATAATAAACCAAGGTTACCTCAATAACAAAAAAATACTACAATTAAAACAAAAAAGCCCCCAGCATCCTTGCTACATCTGACCCAGGTTGCCTGGCAGCTCAGAAGACTTGCATTGGAATACTCTTCTGGCCTCTTCCGGTCTTTCTTTACTCCCTTGCCATCTTCTCATATGTGGGCTCTTTCCTAATAAACTCTTGCAGGTTTAACCCCTTCTTGGCATTTGAGTCTTCTCAGAGGAACCAAAGCAGCATATTATGTTAGGGAGTAGTTAGTGCTCTCAGGGAAAATAAAAGCATAGTCACAGGTTAGAAGAGTGTGCTCTTAAGTCAGGTGATGGGGAAGACCTCCCACAGAGCAAGATTCATAGAAGTTATTCAAAACTATGACTTTTAGGGTCAAGTAGATTTCTTGAGATTTTATGACTCTTTCCTTATAGATAAATAGAGCTGACATCTTTGAATGCAACCACAGTTATATGTTATGTGTAAATGAGTGATGATAAAGAATGTAGTGACTATTTGAGTAACAATTTATATCAGACAAATGATAATATGTCGACCACAGCTAGCTCAAAGAAAAAAGCTGCAGGGCCTCCATGGTGGTGCAAGGGGTTAGGCACTGCACTGTGAAGCAATGCACAGCCTCTGTAGCACAGGTTCCATCCCCAGTGGGCCAGAGAGAAACGCACATGGTGAAGCAGGCCTCTCCTGTCTTGCCCGCTGCTCCCCTCAGCAGTGTATTTCGTCAGTCTGCCTGTTCTGTTCCCCACTCTGTCTCTGGTGCATCCTCTCACCCCCCATATCTCTGGCCTGTACCCCAGCTTTTGTATGCATGGATAAATAAATCTTAAAAAAAAAAAAGAAAAAAAGGAAAAAGCTGCAGAAGCAAAACAGTAACACAATTAGCTTCTATGTAGCCTTGCTTTCATTTCCTTTCAGTGGCCTTCCTCCTGCCTTTCCTTCTTTCCCGATGTTCTTTTATATTCATTTTACTAGTATTGCAGCTTCTATACCAATTCCTCAATCAGCAGTTGTAAAATAGGATGTAACATTGAATTTATCTTTTTTCCTTCTGACCTTTTCCTTTCCTGTTTCCTGAAAGGTCTCCATCTCCTATACTACCTAGGTTGTCACTTGAATCCATTTCAAACTATTACCCAGTACAGAATAATCAGCACGTTCTTTTTGGATCTGAACTATAATCTCCTAGATCTAGCTCCCCTGTACCCCATTTTTTACCCATTTCTGCCAAATCTTCCCATTGAAATTACATTATATTGAGAAGTCAGGGAAAGTTTCTACCCTCGATTGAAATCCAGCTCTTCTGTTCAAGAAATTCAAACTGGAACACACTTTTTATAATAACCCTAAGCCACTGACACACTTACACAGTGTTACTTACTTTTTACTTAGCTTTGGGTAAGTTTAACTTTTTAAGCAGTATGGTCTT